AGAGCTTTGCAAAAGCCCTGGAAAAAGAACCAGAAAACCCAGAATTTAACTCCGGCTATGCAATCACAATATATCACCTGGAAGATGAAAATTTTGCCAAAAACCCTTCAGGGAAAGAGTCATCCCTGGAACTTTTGAAGCGTGCAGTGGAACTGAATCCTGATGATGTATTCATTGTTCCTCTACTTGCAGTAAACCTTCAAGAAACAGACAAAATGGAAGAAGGAGAAAAGTGGATTAAAGAAGCCCTCCAAAAGCACCCTGACATTCCTTATGTATTAAGGTACGCTGCCAAATTTTACAGAAAGAAAGGAGATCTAGAGACATCATTGCAACATTTGAAGAAAGCATTGAGCTTGACCCCAAACTCTGCATTCATGCACCATCAAATTGGCCTTTGCTATAGGGCACAGTATTTAGTGATGAAACAGGAAAGCCGGTATGACAAGTGCCAAGCCAAGGATAAAATGGAGGAATTGAAGAGATTGTGCATTTTTCATTTTGAAAAAATGGTGGAGTGTAACCCCAATTTTTTCTATGCTAATCTTGACCTTGCGAAGAGATATGCAGAAGAAGGACAGCTACAGAAAGCGGATGAAACATACCAGAAGTTCCTTACCATAAGCAACCTAACTCCTCCAGAGAAGCAACAGCTCCATTTCAAATATGGGCGTTTTCAAGGATTTTACAGAAGGTCACAATCAGAAGCCATCAAACACTACCTTGCAGCGCTGAAGATTGAATTTGACTCTTCTGAGAGAGATAAATGCCAGTGTATATTGAAGAAATTGATGGAGAAGAAAATCAGGAAAGGAAAAGCCAATGGTGAGGATTTCGCCATTCTTGGATTTATTCATCAGCTCAATGGAGAAATGGAACAAGCAGGGGAAGCCTATCGAGAAGCCTTGAACATTGGTCCTTGGAATGAAGAATATTTCAGTGCAATTTTGGAATGAAGAATATTTCAGTGTTGAATCTTTCTTCGTAAACCAACATATGCTAAAGTGGGAATGTTTCCATGAATACTGGTTTTAAAAATGTATGAGCAGATGTTGTCAGTCTGCTTACTCCATTTCAATATTTCATT